GGGCACTCAGCGGACAAGCCTAGACTAGGGCTCTTTCTTACTGACTGAGATTGTCGTGGCAAACGCCGCGCCGAGTTGGGATTGTCTGCCAATGCCTGAGGCAAAGAATGTTATTTTCACAGCATGGCGACAGCGACACGATCGGTCCGTTCTTCGTTTTCACTCATCTTGGGCGTTCACTTTATCCCATTTCCCAATGAAACTGGTTTATTTTATCCACTATGTTTTACTTAAACAAATAGTGTTTCAATCGGGACCACAGAATATCGTTCACTTTAACCGATTGTTCAAATAAAACGTGTTCACTTTCAGTGGACTCCACTGTAACAATGAACTCGTCGCACCACCTCCCCGTGTAAAGTCATCAGCCATCTTTTACCATTTAAGATTTGTTTATAATGCATACAGTAAGAACATGCAAATTTTAGCAGGTATATAATTATATTGCACCCAAAAAATGTGTCCTTTTCTATTTGAAATGTTCAAACAGAAAGGTTGACAAGTGTAGATTTTGATTAAATAAACTCTGGTTTGTATTTTTTAAACATAATGAATTAAAGTAAGGTTGATATGTGTGGGTTTGCCTGCCAATCCACTGAGTGTGAACTTTGCCACACGTTTTTCCTTTGTGTGTGTGACGAGATGACTGTGACGAGATCTCTGGAGGTATGTGACGACTTTACCGTGTGATGAGTTAACTGGAAGCCAATATCAATACCCATCAGTATTGCTCTACTTCCTTCAGACGACGTGGTCCAAAATCAAAGTGACCCACCGTCAGGGGCGATTCCTTAACTTTTTTATCGGCTGGACAATGGACAAAAGATTTATGGCTGCTAATAATTTTCATTCCGTTTCAAGTAATTTTAATTAATATTCATTGTCGACATTCCAAAAGCATTTGCTGATTTGAAGGCGCCGAAAAAAACTGATAAGTTGTTGCACTCCAGATTCTCTTTCCTTCGTCTCTGTTTTATTACAATATGGTGCTCACAATTTGTTGTCATCGCCTCCTTCCGCGACGAACAACTTCGCGCGAACACCGCGTTCCTAGCCGGCGGTTTTTACAAATTTGTCTACAAGACCCAAAAAGGAAACCTCTAGTTGCCAATTTGACTTCTCGTTTGTTGTACTTTGTTGAATGATAAGACTATTTAATTTTAATACATTGTATTTCACCAGTAACGTTATGAGGTCGGCTGTCTCTAGTTTCTGTCAGTACATTTATTGTCAGCATGACTGAGTACTGACTCTGATTTGTATTGCCTATAAATATAGGGTTTTGGTCACCCATGGTTCTGTTTGATATTCTTTTCGTCACTTACTTCCTACTGAAACCTTACCTGACAGACCGTCGCTTTAAAGAATTGGCCAGTCATGTTATATAATAGAAGAAAATGATAAAATTTACCGAGGAATAGCGTACTAAACTAGCGAGAGGCACTCGGCTTTGGGCCAGACACTGAGTTCTATAATTAGCATTTGGCAGTTCCTAACTAAGCCTTATGCAGTCTTCTGAGAAATTCGACTAGAACATTAAAATTTGATTATGAGCGGGAATTTTGTGCTATGTTCAGCGCATGTGCATCAGTGCGGGTGCTTTTAAGTAGGCCCCCCTACACTGTTGTATCTGATTCTAGACTTGATCTGCAGGGGATAGCGCCATGCCATAAACACAGTGTTATTTCTTCAGACTATCTTAACCCTATCCGTACATCCTGGGGTCATTTTGTATCCCTGGGGTTGTATTCTTCACACTTTAGAACAGGGGCGAAGGGTCTATATAATCAAATAATCACTGCTTCCCTTCCTAATTTTGAAACATTGTCGCTGTCAAATTCATCC